GATAGTATGTATTCCAAAGTCGGATGGACACGGGGTCAAACTCATATGTTTTTTTTGCATCGGTTCTGGGGGATCGATGAGTCCAGGGGGGGAGTTTTTTTTTTTTTTTGTTTTTTTTTTTTTTGTGCGTGCGTTTTTTTTAGCCCTCCCCTTTTTTGTTTTGTCCCTATCCCCGCGAGATGCGATTTGTTATGTATGTGTGTATATATGTATATATGAGAAATGATACATGCTGTATATCTATATATACATATATACAAACATGATAATGAACATCTGTTCGCAGTGAGTTCCCCATTCTACTGCTCGCACAAACATCTCACCCACCCGCCTGAATCTTGGTTTGCTAAACCCATGCGGCAGCGATTGCGATGAGTGCTCGGCGTTGGCTGGTGCATCGGCGCGGCCGCGCCAGCCCGCGCATGCGCGCGCGCGCAGCGGCCGCCTACTTTGGCGCGACCGACGCGGCCGTGGTGGCGGTGACCGCTGGGCGCATCCCAGCGGGCACTTTAGTGCGAGTCGGCGACTTGTGCGGGCGCGGTATCGTGGCAACGCAGACGAACGCGATGATGGTCGTAGCGATGCTGGCGACGATGGTGACAGCGACGACGACGCGGCCAGTGACGGCGCCGATGGTGTTCGCGCCAACGACGATGACGGCGTCTTCGCGTCGGTGATGAAGGTCTTGGAAAGAGCTCGACACGCGCGCGCCGCCGGGCGCGCGAGAGAGGCCGCGTGATATTGCTTGACGCGGATCGTGCCCCCGCGGCGCGCGCGCAAGGGCGTTCGACCGATTTCGGCATGCGTCGCGAGAGGCCCATTTTTGAGAAAATTCAATGCAATGCTGGAGAACCGACGGTTTTCGTAAGACTTCGCAAGAGCGCGAACGCAGGATTTTTTGAAAATTCATGTTGCGAAACCATGTGTCCCAGGTGGTTTCGGGACACTCGGTTGTGAATTCCTTCCGAAGGCAATAATATTTTACATATTGCGACATGCGCGCGCGACGACGCGCGCGTGTGCACTTCGTTTCATGTTTTGCACAAGGATTCTCGCGACAACGCGCGCGCAAGGGTGTTCGAACGATTTCGACATGAGCGCGCGAAACCCGTTTGGTAGCATTCTATGACAATGACGAAGCCTTTTTTTGTGATGTTTAAAAAGCGAATTCGCAAGAACGCGTGCGTATTTTTTTGAGAAGCAGTGTTGCGATACCATTTTTGATTATATATATATATCCTTTTTCTTTTTTTTCCGACGCTCTATTTTGACATCCTCACGAAACCTGCGGTTTTTGAAGGATGTCGGCATGCGCGCGCGACGGCGCGCGCGTGTGTGCTTCGTCCTCTTTTTGGGCAAGGGATTCTTCAAAACGTAGGATTTGTCATAAACGAATGCGCGTGCATAGTTTTTTTTGCAAAGAAGGGGGGGGTCGATACCGGCGTGGCTGGCATGGTACGACTTCAGATTTACGACAGACGATGGACGAACCAAATGTAATGATACGGGAGAAAAAAAACAATCAAAATCTTTTCAGGGCGATAAGGCTATAGGGTTGTAGGGCTAAAATGCTATGGGGCTCTAGGGCTATAAGGCTTTAGGGCTATAAGGTGATAGGGCTCTTTACGGCAATATGGCTATACGGCTACAAGGCTATAGAGCTATGGGGCTATTGGGCTATTGGGCTATAGGGCTATACGGGTATTTAATTACGGCTATTCGGGCTAGTGGGCTAAAGGGCTATTGGGCTAAAGGGCTATTGGGCTATAGGGCTATATAGGGCTATATAGGGCTATTATGTTATAAGACTACAGGGCTACCGGGCACCCCGGCACCGGGGCACCTGTGCACCAGGGCGCCCCGACACCCAGGCACCCAGGCACCCGGGCACCCCCGGGCACCCTGGCACCCCGGCACCCGGACACCCGGGCCGGCCACCGAAATCGGCGATGAACCTCACCTAACCATATGAATGCGCTAGGACCCCCACAGAGGCAGTCTCTGATAGCGGAAATTGCAGTACGAAAAAGGTGTACCGTTAACTCCGGCCTCGGGAGGGTGGTTGATCTTATTCTCTTGTAGGGAAAGAGAATCTATGTCGTGCAACCCCTTTGGAACAATGTAGGTTGTTAGTCCTGTGTAGAGCTATCTTGGTGGTGCAACCCAGGTGGCAGCAATCTATGTGGTGCAATCTGTGTGGTGCAATCGACGTGGTGAAACTTATTTTGTGAATCTATACGCATCTGTGTTGTGCAAACGATGTGGTGCAATCGACGTGGTGAAACTTATGTGGTGCATTCTATGTTGTGCACTCGACGTGATTCAATCTATGTTGTACGATCTAGGCGGCGACGGGGCGGCGACGAGGCGGCGATCCCGGCCACGGAACAGCCAGACCGACACTCAAGCCCAGACGACGGGCGACGACGAGGCGGCGACAAGGCGGCGACGGCGAGCACGGAACCGCCAGGCTGTCACCCAGGCCCAGGCGACGGGCCGCGACGAGGCGGCGACAGCGGCGACGTCGAGTACGGAACTGCCGCACTGCCTCGTAGGCCCAGCTCCGTAGAATACGAACAGAAATCCTTAAGGGCAAATACTGTTTGGGGAATAGTTCTCCCCTTTCGTCTTCCCAGACGTGTCGGAAGAGCGGACCAGGCGTTTTGCCTGAAACGTCCTCACCATTGCAGATCCTGAAGTTTGAATAGTGCAGCAGTTTCACGGATATGGAGAGCGGGCCTTATTCAAAATGTAGCTCTCGCTTCAGCGCCGCGCACATTTGTCTGAACAGTTTGCGGCAGTTTTGCGGATGGAGGTCGGGTCGTTTTGAAGATGCCGCTTTAGTGCCACGCACATCCGTTTCGAAAACTGCAGCAGTTTCACGCGCAGCAATTTCACGCATGGAGGGTGGGTAGTTCTGAAAACGTAATTCTCGGTGGTTCGCACAAGGCATTCGTCTTAAAAGCGTGTAGCAGCTTGACGCATTGAGGGCGGGTATTTTTGAACATGTGGTTCTCGCATTTCGCTCCGTGCACATTCGTCTTAACAGTATGCAGCGGTTTAATGGATGGAGGGCGGTTCTTGTTTCAAGATGTTGATCTCGCTTTGGCGTTTAGCGCCGCGCACATTCGTTTCACAAGCTTACAGAATTTTCATGGTTTCGGATGGTTGAAGTCCCCAGTGGTTTTTCTGGTGGCAACAGTCGCTATGACTCCCGGTGTTGAGGTTGCATGAGTTGTGTTCTGGCACGATCTAGGATTGTCAGGGCGCAACAGTCACGCTGATCCGCGGCGCTGATGTCCCAGGAGCCGTGTTTTGGCACGGTTGAGGATTCTGGGACGGTTGTCTTCCAATGGGCCACTTCCGGGATGCAGATCCATGCCTGTAGGAGCCAATGGAGAGGGAATTCAGAGGAGGGGTTTCTTGTACCATCGTTGATGCGTCTTGGCTTTGCACTGGTTCCCCTCTTTCCCTTTTTCACAAAATTGGCACCAAGACCTCTTGTGGGGTTCGTTCCGAAAAGATTCTCAGGAGTGCAGCCGTGGCGACGAGGAGCCGCCCATCGGCCCAAAAGGGCCCACAAGCTCCCTCCCAAACCGCGACCCTCGAAATTTGAATTCCTCCTTCCTCCTCCCCTCCTCGTCCGTCCCCTCCTGGCTCCCTCCTTCTTCCTCCTCCCTCCTATTCCTCCTGCCCTCCTCCCTCCCTCCTCCCTCACTTCAGCGTTCTCTGTCTGCCCGCTCTCTGGTGGCATGCAACACCGGGGGACCTACGGCATGATGACTCAGGACCATGCTGTTGCTGCCTTCTTTGCCTCGATTACGATTTCGGCGCTTCTCCAGCAGCCGCCCTAGTTGGAGAGGTTTCGGGCGCCGTACCTTGTACGGCGAACCTCCCTCGGGGCGGGCAGACGCGTGCGCCTGCCCGCGCCCGCGCATCGGGCTCGCCACGCCATCTCAATTTCACAATTTCCCTGCCCAGCCTTCAGCTTACTGTGGTCGGGACCGGGGGTGGGCTTGGTACGTGGGCGGGGACGGAGTTTCTACTGTGGCGTTGGAGTAGGCGCTGGCCGCAGTTCGAGCGCGCGAGCATCGTGCGCTCCCGCTGGCCCCTGCCTCGCCCCCTCCCCCCATTCAGCTGCCTTTTCGTCAGCCTCTCTTGCCTCTTGGTGCTTCTCTTTTCGTTCGATCTCTAGCTGCCGCCCCAGGTCGAGAGGTTTCGGGCGCCGTGCCAGGTACGGCGAACCTCCTTCGGGGCGGTCAGACACGCGTGCAGGCCCTGCCCGCGCATCGGACATGCCAGGCAGTTTCGCCTTCCCCACTTCCCCTTGGTATAGGTTTGTTGGCGGGGACGTGGTTCGCACTGCGGCAATGAGGTAGGCATGGGACACAGGTCGGGCGTGCGAAATTCGTGCACCCCCGCTGGCCCCTGCCTCGCGAACGCCCGCTTAGCCGCCCTTCCGGCCTTTCGCAGGCTATCTCACCTGCCCCCCTCTTAGATCAGCCTCCTCTTGCCTTTTCGCTACTCCTGTTGCGTGGAGCGCCTTCCGACGATATGGGGGTGGTGCGGGTTAGGTGACGGGGGCGGGGAGATTCGCCAAACCTTGGCGCCCGTGCTGCTAGATGCCGTGCGTTTCTGCCAGCAGCTAGTGAGTGCCGCGCCAAGCTGATTGTCTCCTCGGTGAATCACAACGCGATCCGATCTTCCCTCACTTCCCCCTCATCTTCCTCCTTCTCCTCCTCCTCCTGCTCCTCCTCCTCCTCGTCCTCCTCCTTCTTTTTCCCCGCCTCCTCCTCCTCCTCCTCCTCCTCCTTTTCCTTCTCCCCCTTTCCCTCTTCTCCGCCTCCTCCTCCTCCTCCTCCTCCTCCTCCTGTTTCTCCTCCTTCAAATTATCCCCCTCCTCCTCGTTCCTTTGTTCCGTTGGTCCATCCGTACTCCTTCCCCCTCCGATTCTTCTCCTCCTCCCTGTTTCTCCTCCGTCCTCCGTCCTCCTCCTCCGCCTTGTTCCTCCCTCCCTCCTCCTCCTCCTCCTCCTCGGCCCTCCTTCTCTTCCTTCCCGTCTTCCCCGGCGTGTCCCGCTTTGCCCCCCAGCCAGGGGAGCCCGAGACGGCCGCGGCCGCGAGGCCATTCGCGAGCGTGGCGCCGCCACGGCCGTTCGCGAGCGTGGCGCCGCCGCCGGCGGACCCGGCTCCGGCGGCCTGCCTCTCGTTCGCTCCGCGTCTCGGCACGGGCGGAGTGGGTGCGGCGAAGCATGCAGTGGCCAAGGAGGAGGAGGGGGAGGAGGAGGAGGAGGATGAGGAGGAGGAGGAGGAGGAGGAGGAGGAGGAGGAGGACAGCATCTCCTGTCCATTTTGTGCAGGGCTCGCTGTCGTTGCCGCCGCGGGCGTGGTCCCTTCGAGGCACGAGGCCGCCTGCCCAACGCCTGCTGTCGGCCTCGCGCCCATATTCTCCGCACCCACTTCGGGCGTGCAAGTCAAGCTTCCCCTCCCCTCCCTCTCGCTATGCGGGAAGCGGGTCCTGAGGGAGGCCGGTTTATGCTGTCGGTTTCCCGGGGCTGTCAGGCAGAGGTTTCGGGACGAAGAACTGGTCCCGGAGGAAGGCCCCAGTGCCCAGGAGCCGTTTCTCTCAGGACCCGTTTGCCTCATACCATCCCTCCCGTCCCTCCACTCCTCCACCCCTCCATCCCTCCCCTCTCCTCTTCCTTCTATCGCTCCGTTTTCCTCCTCCCTCCATTCGGGAAACAACGTAGGACTTGAGCTCGCCAGAGCTCGGACTCGCTGGCGCTTTTTGACAGGCTCGTCCCGGATTTGAGTCGGCACAGTTTTTGTGGGATGCTTGCAGCGGGAGTTCGCGTCAAGTTTCAGACCTAGACGGTCAGGCCAAACCGAGTCCCCCGAACCCAAGTGTTGTCTCCTTGGTCTATCCTTCCTCCTGCCCTCCTCCCTCGTCCTCTCCCTCGTCCCTCACCCCCTCCCTCCCTCGCTCCCCCCTTCGAGGGCTACGGCCCTACCGCCACTATCCTACAGGGCCGTCGTCCAGGACGTAATTATTTGGCGGTGCGCTCTTCTCCGATCCCCTCCCTCCTCCCTCCTCCCTCATCTCTCCCTCGCTCCTCGTTCAGCCTGGGTCATGGTCCTCGTTCTCCTCCCCTCCATCCTCCCTCGCCCCTCCACCCCCTCCCTCCCTCCATCGCTCCATCCCTCCTCCCTGGCCCCCCTCCTCCCTCGCCCCCCCCCCTCCCTCCCTCCCCCCCTCCTCCCCCCCTCCTCCCTCGCCCCCCCCCCCTCTCTCTCTCTCCCTCCCCTCCCCCGACGGGGAGAGGAGGCGGCGAGGCCCCTGGGCCGCCCCCCCCCGCGCCGAGGCTGCCGCCCCTGCGGCGCCGGCGGCGCCCGCCGCCGTGGCCAGGAAGAGGGGCAAGATCGGCGTCAAGCTGGGCGGGTGAGGTGCCACCGCGCGGGGCCTCTCCGAGCCGGGAGGCGCGCAGGCGCTCCCGTCCCCTCCTCCGCTCCTCCTCCTCCTTCCTCCTCCCTCTCCTTCTCCTCCTCCTCCTTCTCTCCTCTCGTTCTCCTCCTTCTCCTTCTCCTTCTCCTTCTCCTTCCCCTTTTCTCCTTCTCCTTCTCCTTCTTCTTATCCTCCTCCTCCTCCTTTCTCCTCTTTCCTCCCCCTCCTCTCTCCTCCCTCCTCCGTCCTCCCTTCTCTCTCCTGCTCCTTCCTCCCTCCTCCTTCTTCCCTCCTCCTCCTCCTCCGCTCTCGTCCCTTCTCTCTCTCTCTCTCTTTCTTCCTCCCTCTTCCCTGTTTCCTCCTCCCTCCTGCTCCTTCCTCACTCCTTCCTCCTCCTCCTCCTCGTCCTCCTCCTCCTCCTCCTCCTCCTCCCATTGTGGCTTAAGACATGCTGGCGTGCTAGCTGCCTTGTCTCCTCGGGTGGTCCTTATCATTCTAGTGATGGCAGGCAAGCGAGCGGGCGAAGACCTCCGTTGGTCCCGCTCAGGCCAGAAGGATGCCATGGACGAGGAAACTGATGACGAGCTGCAGCCTGGAGTCTCCAGCACTGCAGTGGATGGAAAGGGCGAGCCTCAAACTCTACTTTGCTGACGCTCTTGCTGGAAATCGGTAGGGGACTCAAGAGGGAGATGAAGAGTGCGAAGGATGGCCTGAGTAAGGTTGAGACAAAGTCGGACCAGGCCATCGCGGCCTCCACCAGGGCTCGTAATACTGCAGCGGAAGCGTTTCGACTCGCTCGGGACCCTGCTGCGGGCTCAAGTCCGAGCTCACGTGCTTCTACGGCTGCCTCAGCGAAACCTTCCCCTCAGGGGTCGTCTGCCGGGCCTCGAGGCGACTATGCGCTGAAGATCGTGATCGGCGGCTTCCCCCATGCCTTAGAGAAGGAGACATTGTCACCCTACTTGGACGCGATCGAGACACTGGTTGCACCAGGCGCTGTGACAAGGCGCTGGTACGCAAGTCCAGGGTGCCGCGCGGCGCTCTTCAAGAGACGATCGTGCTGCGTCGGCATTGTTATCCAAACATCGTGAGAAGGCTGAAGGGGATGCCCTCTACGGTGCCTGGACAAAAAGTGTCCACGCCGACGGCGTGAAGACAACCAGGCATGATGGCAACGACAATTGCAATATACATGTGGCTCGCCCCCCTCGCCCCCAAACCCAAAGTTGAGGTGTCCATATTTTGTCCCCCGCGCGCTGCCTCGCATCCAACCCCGTCAACTTTGGGCTTTGGGAGACGGGTGCTATGGATATTTGTTCGACGCAGTTCGATGTCGCATCATCTTGGCGCGATGAGTGTGGACCCTTTTTGTCCGCCCTTCGTAGGGTGTAGATCATTGCAGGATTCGCTACGTTGCTCAACCGCCTCCATACTGGCCTACAACTGTTGGAAGAAGACGGCAGCTGCATCGATGCTAGTGAACATAGCAGTTGTCTTCAGCAAGGCGCAACCTTTTGGCAGAAAGTTCATGATCGTCTTCCCACATCGTGCAGTTCGGATGCCACGACATGTTGGACATCGGCCTTTGTGGCGAGAGTCAACGCTCTGGGCGCTCTCACTGTAGTGAAGGACAACATCACTGACGAATTGCAGCGTTCCATCTTTCAGACCACGGGCCGCATGGTCTCCGTTGATATGATCACCAAGTCGCAGGAGGATTTCAAACTGCATCGATCATTTCGAGCCTAATTGCCGACCAGGCTGTGGGGAGAGCAACGCATTCAGTCTTTAAGTGTGGCCGCTCTCAATTGCTGTGGGGTTAGCCTTGGTAGTTTTGATGCACTTCTAGAGTACGTGGGCGACGATATTGAATGGGATATTTTGCTTCAAGGTCTCTCCGCACAGTCATCGCGCAGGCCACGATGTGGTGGCTGCTTGTGGTGGCGTGCATCTCCGACGTTGTGCTGTGGTTACAATTCGGCGACATGCACGTACTATTCATTCTCCTGAAGTTCCTTCCTGCCAGAGGGCCGTGTGTACTCGTGCCACAGTGTGCCGCAAAACGCTCCCCTTCGCTTCCTGCTACCTTCCGCAAGCTCCGATCAAGTTTTCCACTCGACTGCTCTTCAGGTGCTCGGATTTCCCGGAAGTCGATCCCCGACCCTGGAGCCTCGAACCTCAGACCCTCGACCCTCGAACGTCGAGCTTCGATCCTCGAGATCCTCCCTCGCGGCCTCGAGCCTTGCAGCCTTGATCCTCGGAGCCTCGGAGCCTCGGAGCCTCGACTCTTCGCAGCCTGGAGCCTCGCACCCCGTAGCCTCGGACCTCGGCTCCTCCTCCTCGGCCAGTGCGGTGGGCGCTCGGGGCGGCTGCCCCCCCCCCCTCCCGCGGCGCCAGCGGGGCCGCCCAGCCTGCGACCGTGCGCGGGGACGCCGGGCGGCTGCCGTCGCCGGGAGGAGGAAAAGGAGGGGTTGTGGGGGAGGGAGGCACGGGGGGAGGAGGCGGGGAGGGGACGGGCAGGGAGGGGGGGGAGGAGGAGGGAGGGGGGGGGGCAAGCTGGGTGCGCTCGCGTCATATCTGACGTCCTACCCCTTCCTCCCATCCCTTCCCACGGCGTAGATCTCCTCTCTATTCGCACAGTCGGACGTCAAGCAGGGCAATGATCGCGAGAGGGTATGCGATGCATGGTAGGGCACAGCATGGCACGGCGTAGAAGAGCACGGCAGAGCGTATCATGCCATAGCACGGCGTGGCATTGCGCAGTGAAGCATGGTATCGCAAAGCGCTGCAACGCAAAACGTGGCATCGCACAGCTGTGCAGAACACAACACCGCACAACATGTCATGGCAAGGCGCCGGGTTCCTTGGAGGGTAAGTGGATCGTCTTCGAGAGGTCAGGGCCGGTCTGGAGCCGTGGCTCCATGTCTAGCTCCTTGGGCTCCCCGTGAAGCTCCACACAAGGCGGGGCTGATGGAGAGCACCCGCTGGCTCTGCTTTCAACATCGCCTTATCAACGCAGAAACGGGGCTCCAGCTTGATACTGTCTGAAAACGACGACGCCCCAACGAATCGACACCGAATGTGTAATCACTTCCGATGGTTTTTTCGGGGGGGCATTTCTCAGATTTTGGGGCCTATTTGGAAGGACCGAAAACCATGCCGTGGCATGGCGCCGGAAATAATGACGCCAGCGCTGCAGCGGGAGCACGATTCGGAACGAACGGTAGCTCGAAAATGAGGCCAGCGCTTCAGCGAGAGCAGCATTTTGACAAAACCCAAGCGACAACTCGTTTACCGGGAATCCTGTATAAAAAACACATGCGCGGAGGGGGGGCGAATATTTCCTGGACGTCGCCATGGGAGAGAGGAGAGTAGTTTTCATATTGTGTAATATGTGGTGGAACAGGAGGAGGAGTAGGAGGAGGAGGAGGAGCAGGCGGAGGAGGAGGAGGAAGAGGAGGACGAGGAGGAGGAGCTGGAGGAGGAGGACCAGTGTAAACCCAACAGTCAGCAACGATGTTGGAATACACCCTCCCTCCAAGCTCCCTTTCCATAGGCCCCTACAAAAGTTCATTTCCACTGAGGGAACTGCTTCTTTGGAAGGCAACCGTTTGAAGACCCGTATTCCAACGCTACGGTTCAGCCTGACTGTTGCGTCTTGGCGATTCCGAATCGTGCCAGAACGCCATTCCTGGGACTTCAACACCGCGAGTCAAAGTAATTGTTGCACCGTCATGATGCAGACTCTGTCCAAAACGCCATTTCTGGGACGTTGACTGTTGGAATCCGTGAAGCTCTTGTTACAGTTTCAAACAGGAATGTGCGCGGCGCTGAAACTAGAGCCACATTTTGAAAAGGAGCCGCCCTCAAACCCTCCAGCTCTTGCGAAGTTCTGAACGAATGTGCGCGGCGCCAAGGCGACAACCACATTTTGAAAATGAGCCGCCCTCGATCCGTGAAGCTCTTGCAAATGTTTAAAACGAATTTGCGCGGCGCTGAAGCGAGAGCCACGTTTTGAAAACGTCCCGCCCTCAATCCGCGAAGCTCCTGCCAATTTTTAGAAAGAATGTGCGCGGCGCTCAGGCGAGAGCCACATTTTGAAAACGACCCGCCTTCAATCCGTGAAACTTTTGCAAATGTTTCCAGCGCAGCGAACGTGAGTGGCGCTGAGGCGAGAGCCACATTTTGAAAACGACTCGCCCTCATTCCGGCGCTCAGGCGAGAGCCACATGTGAAAAGCGACTCGCAAAGCTTCAGGGTCATAAGCTGTGAGGAAGTCTCAAGCGAAACGCCCGGCACGCCCTTTTGACTGGCCTTGGGGCGCGACAGGAGGAGGAGTAGGAGGAGGAGGAGGAGGAGGAGGAGGGGGGGCAGGGGGAGGGGGAGGGGGAGGGAGGAGGAGGAGGAGGAGGAGGAGGAGGAGGAGGAGGAGGACAGGAGGAAAATTCATGGAGGAGGAGGAGGAGGAGGAGGAGGAGGAGGAAGAGGAGGAGGAGGAGGAGGAGGAGGAGGAGGAGGAGGAGGAAGGGGGGGAGGGGAAGGGGGAGGAGGAGCAGGACGACTGGAGGAAAAGGGATGATGAGGAGGATGATGATGATGATGATGATGAGGAGGAGAAGGAGGAGGAGGAGGAGGCCTGCGCTCTCCCCCTGCGGCCTCCTGCTCCCCCGCTCTCTTTTCTATCTCCCCGTATCTCTCTTTCGGGGTCTGGGGTCGCTCGTGTCTCCAGGGTGTCAGTGGTGTCAGTGGGCTGGGGGCCTCCAGGGTTTCAGTGGTCCCTCGTCGCCGCCCTTGCTGCACATTTTTTGTGACTCTCGGCAGGCAGCGTTCAGGTTGTGTGTTTGTGTGAGGACGTGGAGGAGGAGCAGGATGACGAGGAGGACGAGGAGGAGGAGGCGGATGATGAGGATGGGGATGATGATGAGGATGATGTTGATGATGCTGCTGATGATGCCGATGATGAGGATTAGGATGCTGTGGCTGCAGCTTATGATAACGATGACAATGGCGGCGATGATGTTGATGCTGCTGATGATGATGCTGATGATGATGCTGATGCTGATGATGATGCTGCTGCTGCTGATGATGATAATGATGATGATGATGAGGATGATGATGATTCTGCTACTGATGCTGATGGTAGTGCTGATGATGCTGATGATGTTGATGATGGTGATGCTGCTGATGATGGTGGTGGTGATGATAGTTACGATGAGGTTGAGGATCCTGATGATGCTGATAATGATTATGCTGATGCTGCTGATGATGATTGATGCTGATGATGACGACGATGATATTTATGATGATGATGCTGATTCTTGTGATGATGCTGCTGCTGATGATGACGATGCTGCTGATTTTGATGATGACGATGCTGCTGATGGTGATGCTGATGATGATGATGCTGAGTCTGCTGCTGATGCTGATTATGTGGCTGCTGCTGATGCTTCTGCTGAGGCTGCTGGTGATGATGCTGATGATGATGCTGATGCTGATGATGATGATGCTACTGCTGATGATGTTGATGATGATGATGATGAGGATGATGAGTAACATGCTGCTGCTGATGATGATGAGGGTGCTGATGCTGCTGAAGCTGATGATGATGCTGCTGATGACGATACTGATGCTGAGGCTGATGCTGATGATGCTGATGCTGCTGATCATGATGAGGATGATGAGGATGATGATGTTTGTGATGATGCTGGTGCTGATGATGATACTGATGCTGATGGTAGTGCTGATGATGCTGATGATGATGGTGCAGATGCTGATGATGTTGATGATGATGATGCTGATCATGATGCTGATGATGATGATGATGATGATGATGATGATGATTACGACGACGATGATGATGCTGATTCTGATGATGCTGATGCTGATGCTGATGCTGATGATTATGATGATGTTGATGATGCTGCTGCTGATGATTATGATGCTGCTGATGATACTGATGATGATGCTGATGCTGATGCTTATCATGATGATGACGATTATGATGATTATGCTGATGATGATGACGATGAGGATGAGGATGATGAGGATCATGTTGATGATGAGAAATATGATGATGCTTTTAATGATTATGACGATGTACATGTTGTTGATGATGATGGTGATTTTGATGATGATGATATTCATGCTGTTGATGCTGCTGCTGCTGCTGATGATGATGATGATGATCATGCTGATGATTCTGCTGCTGCTGATCATGATATTGATGCTGATGTTGTTCATGATGATGATGTTGCTGATTCTGATGCTGATTATGATGATGATGATGATGATGATGATGATGATGCTGATGATGATGATGATGACGATGATGATGATGATGATGATGATGCTGCTGATGATGATGCTGCTGATGCTGATGATGATGCTGATGATGATGATGATGATGATGATGCTGATGATGATGCTGATGATGATGATGCGATGATGATGCTGATGATGATGATGATGATGATGCGATGACGATGACTGATGATGCTGATGCTGCTGATGATGATGATGATGATGATGGGAGGACTGGATAGATGAGGTGGAGGAGGTGGAGGAGGTGGTGGAGGAGGAGAAGGAGGAGAAGGAGGAGGAGGAGGAGGAGGAGGAGGCGGAAGCGGAGGAGAAGAGGAGGAGGAGGAGGAGGAGGAGGAGGAGGAGGAGGAGGAGGAGGAGGAGGAGGAGGAGCAGGAGCAGAGCAGGAGCAGGAGCAGGCGGGGGGGAGGAGGGGGGAAGGGGAGGGGGGAGTTGAAGGGGGGGGGGAGAGGAGGAGGCGGAGGAGGAGGGAGCGTGGGAGGAATAAAAGGACGAGAGGGAGTGTGGGGGGAGGTAGGATGAAGGGGCGGATGGATGGCTTGATGGATGGGTGGACGCATCGATGGGGAGTTAAGTTGAAGCTTGCCAGCTCGAGCGAGCCAGCGGGCCCCACCTGCTCCCTCCTACCACCTGCCATGCGATCGCACTCTTCGGTAGCCGCCGCATCTTGCCTCTCTGTTCAGGTTGCTCCACTTCTCCTCCACCTCCTCCCCCTCTCCTCCTTTCCTCCTCCTCCCTCCTTCCTCCTCCTCCTCCTCCTCCTCCTCCTCCTCCTCCTCCTCCTCCTCCTCCTCCTCCTCCTCCTCCTCCTCCCTCCTCCTCCTCCTCCTCCTCCCAGCTACGCCACCATTTTGTAATGCCGCACTAGCCCCGAGAGAGTGTAGCACGAATTGGCCCGAGAGCTCGACGATCGACTCCTCCTCTCCTCCTCCTCCTCCTCTCCTCCTCCTCCTCCTCCTCCTCCTCCTCTCGTTCTCTGGAACGAGATCTTGTCACGGACTCCGTGTGGCACGCATTGCGACGTTCAGCAGCAGCAGCAGCCTGCCATGCGACACAGTGCGGGCACGTCTGGAAGTCGGGCCTGGCGCGTGTCCCCCCGCGCCCGGCGACGCCCAGAGGGGGCTTTCTCGCGCGCGCGCGACTCTGC